GGAGTAGCCATTTTTATTTATTCTTGTGAAAACCCACCAGTTCTAGAAGCTGGGGTTCAGGAATTCTGGGGTGGGGTGGGGTGAGTGGGTCATAGCCTGCTTAAGAAGCCAGCGTAGCTGCTCTGCAGTGACAGATGGCTTTGCAGGGAGCTTGGACCCATACTTAGTACACCCAGCCAGCATTTCAGGGGCAGCCTGGTCTTTTCATGGCCTCCGGGCTTTGTCCCTGCCTCTGCATTCATGGACAGTGTGCTGGCGGGCAATAGATTTAGAACCGTGTGCTGCTGTCGGAAATCTTTGACTGGGGCAAGCTGGAATATGACCCCTTTCTCCTTCAAGTTTATCATCAATCAATGGTGCTCTGCCAACTCTATCAAGAGGATCCTAATCTCTTTTGCCCTTATGCTTCAAGAAAAGATTAGGCAGCAATCAGAAGCTTCTGACCGGTAAGTTCACAAGGACTTTTCACACAAGGGCAAGCACCTAGTAGGCGCCCAGAGAGCATAGGACCAGAGGGAGAGTTAAGTAGATGATTGGATGCAGGCGCTTTATGTCCCCGTGAGAGAGAAAAGAATTTCCTGTGGATCAACAAGGATGTTCGTGTCCTAGAATCTCCCTATACTCTCCTCCTCTGTTTAAGCATAACTCCGTAAGATAATATTGGGATTCATGTAGCCCCACTTCCCCCCATTGACAGTAAGTCAGGATCGTACCTAAATGAGTGACTGAAGCTGAGTAAATGTCAAGGAAGTCACTTTTCAGATGGAGCCGTGGACTCTTGGCTTCCTGGCCCTTCTGTTCTATTCCTGATCACCTCCGGGAGTGGCCACCGAACGGAGCTCACGGTCCCCGCCCCACATTTCACTGTTTCCCATGTGCCTTTAAGGAATCACTCTTGATCTCAGTCATAAAATTGGAAAGCCGCACAACTAAGATGATCCCCCAAGGCAGCTGAAATGTGGGGTAGATTGAAGCCGACAGTTAATTTGTAGCAGTAAAAAATAATGATATCATCATAAAACAAGTTTCAGATTAGACGTGGCTCATACATTGTGCGCCCACAGGATATATAGATGGGTATTGTCGAGCTTAAATAACAAAGCAAAACAAAAGTGAACCTCCCGGCTTCACCAAACATGCCCCTGCGCTCTTCTATGGTACACTACCGCCATCTGCTGGCTGGAGTGAAGAAAAAAAATCTAGCAGGCGCCTAAATCCTGGAATATTCCACTCTGCAGAGCCTGCTGTTAATTGCCATGCACGCGGGAACATATTTTTAACCTCGCAATATCACTGAAATGGTACAAATAAGTCAGCGCTCCCTAGAATATCAAACAAATGAAAGAACCTAAGAGGAGAGAGATTGCCAAAAACTCCCCACCTGATCTGCCTGCCTCCAAGCTGCCCTTGCTGGCTGAGAACATCCCTAGCACACCGCTGTGCTATCCCGGAGCTCTCCCAACACGCATTCCCCTTCCGCCTTCCTCCTCTCCAGCTGCCTTCTCTCCCAGGCATCCTGCAACCGCACTCCAGTGATAGGCAAAGCAGCAGCTACCGGCTAAAAACAGCCTCTTCCTGCAGTTCTCAGGGTGGAAAGCCACTGACACTTGCCTTGTTCAGGGAGAGCAAAGCCCTGGTTGCATTAAGCGAGAAAAGAAACCATAGGCTTCCAGAACCATCCGAGCAGCAGTTTGCATGATTTCCTCGGGGTTTACCTTGCATTACATCTGGATGCATTGCTCTAAGTTGGCAACAAGTGTTCTTTGGAGACAGAAAGGATAGAGGCTTTATAAGCAAATAAAATCTAGCCACTATAAAACCCTCCTCATTTTATAGCGTGTGCTCAATCTTACCATTTTAGACTCTCCCGTCACTGTCACCGCAGCCCTCAGGATGCCAAGCTCGATAGGAATAAAGGAGCTCTTATCTTATCTTTCCTCTTCACCATGACTTGTGGGGGGTTTGTAATTGCCTGCTATTTAATTTTCCATCAGTTAGCATGTACCAGTTCTCATTTTTACCTACTAAAAAATCTTTTTTTGTCACGCATACCTTCATGGCCATCATTAGACCGCAGTTGCCTTTAAGCAAAATGTCTGGTTTTGTTTGGTAGCGATAGTCCCCCGGGAGAGAAGTGGCAGTATGGCAGAGAAGGGCTGCAGGCTGCAGGTCTGTGCACACCTGGGCGGGTCATGATTCCGGATAAACCAGTCTCCTCCTGGACAGGACCCATGGCTTGTAGATACCTAAACCAAGAGCTCAGGGACGTTCTCAAATGCTCAGAGGACTGCGTCTGCCCGTCACCACCGCCCACCATCCCCTCCATGCTACAACTTCCTAACTTTACAGGAAACACTGGCTGAACCACAGAGGCTTGAGTAAAATCTCCACGTAAGTTATGTTAGCATATGAAACGCACTTACATTCAACCCCTTTCTGCATGTTTTTGACGTTCAGTGTCATCAAAAGAGCCAATATGAAATCACACAAAAATAAAATATGAATTATACCTCTTACCAAATAGCAAATAATACCATTTTGATCCTAGGAGAAGAAAGCCTTGCTAGTATCCAAGTGGGTTCCCTAGTAAGGTGAACATGGACTGTCTGACATGAATTCAGTGCCTTTGATCACCTACCCCTGAGGAGGGTAAAGCCTTACCAGGCCACAGAGGAAGACAACGCAGCCAGTCCTGATGAGACCTGAGAGGCTAAGGTCATATGGAAGGGGAGAAGGACCTCCCCTATCTGGACTTGGGGAGGTGCATGGGAGTAAATGAGGGAGGGAGGGTAAAATTGGGAGGGAATGAGGTAGGGGGCTACAGCTGGGATACAAAATGAATAAACTGTAACTAATATTTAAAAAATAAAAATGTAATTAAAAAAAGGAAGCCTTGCTATGCACGACTTACATGGGCGCAGTTTGGAGCAGCCTTTCAGAGAAATTCTATGCAGTTGGCATGCCAGCACCAGACTTTCATCTTTAAAAAGGCAGAGTTAACCATCACCACAGTCGGCATCATCCAGTCTTGTGTACCATACGAAAAGCTTTCTGTATTCAAACATGGCCTCCCCAAATCTTGCCATTGTCCTTAACCCTGGAGCCTATAAGTGACCTTAAATTGTACAAAGGGCTTTGCAGATGAGCATGAGTTAAAGGTCTTGAGATGAGATGGTTTACTGTGGCCTATCTGGGTGTGACCAGGGCAATCACAAGAATCCTCATAAGAGGAAAGCAGATACTTCCAAACTCCAGAAGGTGATCAGACAGCAGAGGCTGAAGTGATGCCTGGGAAGAGAGAAGTGCCCCTGAGGCAAGGAATGGAAGCAGCCTCTAGAGCAGCGTTTCCCAGCCTGTGGGTCACGACACCGTTGGCAAACCTCTATCTCCAGAAAGTATTCACATTAAGATTCATAACAGTTGAACAATATGGTTATGAAGTAGGAAAAGAAAGAATTGTATGGTTGGGGGTCACCGTAACATGAGGACCTGGGTTAAAGGGTTGCAGCAGTAGGGAGTAGAGATTAGAAGAGGGAGCAGGATACCCTACAGCGTCCCCGGAAGGGGAGTGGCTGCCGTTACACCGTGATTTTCAGCCTCCTCTCCTCCAAAATGAAAAATAAATTTCTGTTCTTTTAAGCTACTAATATATAAAAATCTATTGATGTAGCAACAGCACATGACTACACCAGATATCAAGACAAAGAGAGTCAGAATCTTTCCAATTTGGGGTTAGTTAAGGATCCGAAAGCTTATACTTGTGGATTTGTTTTATTTTTGTTAGGTTTGAAACTAAAGTATTTCTTTTTTTTGATGATAATGATGTTGTGTTTTAAATGTCAATGTGATGATGTCATGGATCATCTGAGAGACAACTTACTTCAGTTATGTTATGACTTCACTGCCCAGGGTTGTGTTTGTAGTGGCGTTAGTGCCAAGGGAAGGCCCCAACATCAGCCTGAACCATGGTATTGCTTGGGAAATGGCTGTCAATGTCACGCAGGCACGAGGAGCTGTCATCTCTTTACCTAGTAAGAATAAATTCAGTGGGAAAGAGTTTTATTTAAAGTTGCATCAAGGCTGTATTCTGAAGTATACAGTTAAATTGATCGATCGACCCAGGAAAATAAGGGGCCATTGCTTGATATGAGTCTGTTATTAGAAGACACAACGACGATGACACAAAGGTTGCTTCGTTAGTCTCAAAGTCAAGTGATTTTTGTCGAGAGAGAAAATTTGCCGCAGATATTGTCTGCTGCCAAACTTCTACCATCACTCTAAGTGACTGCTGTGATTTTAATGACTGACTTTATATATAAATTTTAAATTTGTACATTTGTCTTTAAATTTGTCTTATTAGTCTGTTATTTTATTACCCCGTTTCAGGGGGTAAGAACATAATAAAATAATAAATGAGCCCTGTAAAAGACATTTGGTTTTTTTTTTTTTTTTTTTTTTTTTTTTTGGAAAAGGTCTGTGTATTTGCCTCAAGTCTGTATAATGTGGACTTATTTATTTATAGAACTTCTTTCTCATGCAGTAGAATATCATTACGAATAATGTTTTATGGACTGGGAGATGGCAAGCTGGGAACTCTAAGTTCAAATCCCCAGCACTCATTCAAAGGCCAAGCATAGGTGCATGTGCTCATAGCCCCAGTATCCGGTATTGGAGACGGGTGGACCCTGAGGGCTCCCGAGCCAAAGGGCAAACCCTGCTTTCATGACAGACCCTGTCCCATGGAAGTAAGGCAGAAAGTGAAAGGGTAGACAGCCAAGTCCTTCTCTAGCCTCCACCTGCATTGCACAAATGCACACACACACGCACACGCATGCATCACACAATACACACAAACACACACCTACACACACATGCAAAAGAAAGAACATAGGAAAACATTTAATACCATGGTGAGATGATAATATGCTGATGAAACTGAAGGTAGTTACAGATTGTTACAGTAAGGCAATCACAATGAAAAAAATTGAAATACACACAGCTAAATGTTAATACATTGCTAGTTTATTTTTCTTGTGCTTTTTTGACATTTTCAAGAGCTTTTACAATAAATATTAACTTTATAGTGAGAAAATAGATTTTCGAGTAATAAATATGTAGTCAAAATGCTGGGTTTTTTTTCTTGGTGCTGAGTCCAGAATATGTTTAAAACTCAAAATAACAAGTTTACTTCTTGACCTTTGAAAAACAACCTTGATGTAATTTCTTCCAAGTTATCCTCATAAAAAGATATGAAATGTAGTCAAAGAACTTTCTGTATCTCCTGAAATAGTCACATGGCTGTTATCCTTGAGTCTATAGCATAGAAAAAAAAAAAACAATATTTCAGAATCACCATTTCAGACCTCCGAAAATTAACCAAAGAGTTGCAACAATTTTCAGAAACTTTGTTTTAAAAAATGGCTAAATATCCATTAAAACAGTGAATTTGTGGCATTAAAAAACAAAAGCAAATTGTGTGAACAAGGAAGCTTGCAGTCCCTTAAGTGTCACTGGGAACAATGGGTGGAGTCCATCACGTGGCAGAGAAACTGTGGGATAACTGCAATGTGTTCATGCACACATATGCCATGTATTATGTGTGTGTGTGTGTATGTATGTATAGAATATCATGAAACCTGGTTTTTTTTTTTCCTGTTTAAATTGTTAATCTTGTCTCCTGTTTAAATTGGCTACTGCTAAGACATTTTTTTAGTACGAGGTTAGAAGAAACCTTTCCTTCCTGGAATCCCACACCTTCTTATATTCCCTTCAGCTACTGTTTGAGATCCATGATCTTAAAAAAAAAATTCAAAATTAAATATCTGAGTCAAGGGCTTGAGAGAGGTCTCCGTGGTCAAGAGCACTTGCTTTTGCAGAGGACCTGAGATCAGTTCACAGTACCCAAATATTGGATCACCATCTGAAACTCCACTTCCAGACCATCCAATGCCCTCTTCTAACCTCTGTGACACACCCATGGTACACTTACATACCCGCGCAGGCAAAACACCCATACACATAAAATAAATACATATAAAAATTTAAGTCCTAGATTCTTTTTCAAAATTTTAAGTTAAGATCTCAAATTTTTACTATAATTTCAAAGTCTTATAAAGAATGTGCTTGCCAACATTCTTCATGCTAAGATATACTTTAAACATGTCAATTCCTCGGAGCTGGGCAACTCACTCATTAAACTCATAGAAATTGCCCATCAGGGAACTAACTGGCAAAGCTTATCTTCACTGTCAAACCAATAACCAAATCAGACTTACTTTCTCATGAAGAATCTCTGGCTCCTTTGTTTACTTTAAATAAAGATGATAAATATCCTCATATACATTCTTACCTATAAATCAAAATTCATTGTTAGACTGAAGAAGAAAGGCATGAGTTTATTGTTGACCTGACATGAAAATGAGTTCATTGTGCTTCTGCAATGCTATCTAGGCTTTCTTTGCCCTGTCTTACAGCAGGAAGATTCTCTGAGATTCCACCACTTTATAGCTTAAAATGAAAGTGAGTAAGAGGGAATAGGAGTCTGACTTTCTTACAAAGAAGTGGGCGTTTGTGAAAGGGGACATAGACCCATAGCCATTCCCTGGCAGAAGAGTTTATGGAAAGCACACCCATTGTCTGAGTCCATTCCATTCGAGCTCCTGCAATGGAACACCAGAGATTCAGTGTTTCTACATGCTTCAAAGTCGAAGGTCAAAGCTACACCACAGTTCTCTGGTGAGGCTGAATCTCTCGGAAGGACACATACTGTCTCCTCTCTGAGCTGGAGGCACAGAGAGCAAGCTAATCAGGTGCTATGCACAGCCTCTTTTATGAGCACTTTGATTCATTAATGAGAAAGAAGCTCTTGTGGGCTCATCACTCTGTAGGACACCAGCTGCTAACAGCCAGGCCACGCGCACTTGTCTTGGAGGAGATGCCGCTAATGCTACCACACACACACACTCACACTGAGGATAGAGGACTCCGTTCCTGGAAGGTAACCAGTGGCACTTTAAACCCAACAACATGAAGAAAAATGTTTTGTCCAACCAAAGAGAGAAATGGGTTATGTCAGCACACAAGTCTCAGTAGTGGAACTTGGAGCATGAAACGCTCAGGAACATGTAAGACCAGCTACCTCTTTCAATGAGTTTGAAGTCTTTTCTCAGACAGGCCCATCTCTTGAAGACAGATAACTTAGACAACATTCTCATAATCATGCAATCTGATGTTTTTCCATGATAAGACACCACTGAATTGTCCCTAATTTCAGTGATTTAAAAAAAAAAATTCTCCAAGATTTAGGTAATTAGGCTTTTGGAAGACATATGTAAATTATTCAGTTATGATATCCTTTTCTATTTCCCCATCTGTGCTGGCTGGTTTTGTGTGAATTTGAAACAAGCTAGAGTCACTGAGAAGAGAGCCTCAGCTGAGAAATGTCTCCATAGGACAGGACTTTAGGCAAGCCTGTAAGGCATTTTTTTATTTGGTGACTGGAAGGGCCAGCCCACTGTGGCTGGGCCCACCCCTGGGAGGGTAATCCTGGGTTCTATAATAAAGCAGACTGAACAAACCATGAGGAACAAGCCAGTAGGCAGAACTGTCCTACAGCCTTGGCACCTGCGCCTGCCTTCAGGTTACTGCCCAGTTTGAGTTTCTGCCTTAACTTCCTTCCAAATAGACTATGGCCTAAGATGTGGAAATATAAACCAAATAAACCCTTTCCTCTCCAACTTGCGTTTTGGCCGTGGTGTTTCAGCATAGCAGCACTAACCTAACTAAGACACAGCCCTCGGACTTCCATTACATATGTAAAAGCTTTCATTAGATTTTAGACTAGGTGGGTAATAAATACTGTAGCTACATTACGCTTAATCTAACAGCAAAGATTTTTGGTTCATACTCTAACCAGGCACTGTGCTGTGCTGCAAGAAATTTTGTTCTTAAATCCCTCCTTCATGCCCATGAAATAGTAAAAATGCTAGATGTGATGAACTGGAAAATAGTAACTGGCATTTCACGGTAGTATCTTTCTTTGTTTGGGCTGCAATGTTGTAACAAACTACTCCCATCGGGTACATCTGTCCAACTGACCCCACTGAAAATTAAAAACAAATAAGTCTAACACCCCATCATCTTTCTGCACTGGAAGAAGAGCACCATCTCACCTTCTCTCGCCAGCCCAGCTGGCACCAAGAGGGTGTCATGCCTCCGTACCTTTCCTGACTATACTCATCATTTTGACCAATATTCTGGATTCTTGCCATCAACAGCCTTTTTTCCTCCCTAGCCCTAGGCAGTCCCATAACCTAGCCTCTTACTCCAACATTTCTTTCCCTTCCACCCTAACAAGTGCCACTCTTCCCACAGAGCACTGCCCAGTACGAGAAGCCTGAGTCTGTGCAGAGCCTTGTATGCTCACACTTTACAGTGAGATCATTGTTTCTTTCATTATTCACTTGATTGGTGTCCTTCACAAGCATGGATGTCCTGTGAAGGACACCCTCTACACTTTTCCATCACCAGTGTGTCCTTCAGTCTTGAAACTGGGAGAAGCTGGGTGATTCCATTAATGTACAGTATGAGTGTTCTCCTCAAGAGAAATATCAGACCCGGATCATCAGCCAGGATATCCACAGAAGAACAACTCTCTGAGTGTCAACTACAGCCCTAAGCCCTGCCCTGGAGGTGTGGGCAGGTGATGTTGCAAAGGACTGTGCAAACAGTTCTCTGGTTAACAGGGGAGAACCCAGAACCTGGCTCCCCCCACGGTCAACACGGCAGCTGCTCTTTCCTGGGTTACAGAACCTTCGGTGAGCTTTGCTCTGTTCTCCCCACTGGGCCGGCGTTTCATCTGTTTTCCTCACTCCAGAACCTAACAAACCACCTGCCATCCATTAGGAACTCAATAGATATTTGTTGAATAAATCAACCTTTTACCTAAGCCTCCTTCATAGCAGGAATGCCCTGAGACTTCCCAGTAGAAGAAATGTTTGGCACCTACGCACCACTTGACACTTTTCCACATTAATCTCACTCTCCTTTCTTAATCACCATTTATTTTCTTCCCTGACTCATTACTTTCCACATACAAACTGCCATGTCCCTCTGAGAGGTTGGCAGCCACATAATTTAAACTGACCACGGGAACTTTGCTTTTCTCACAACACAAAAGACCCACAAAGATGAAAGAAAAGAAAAAAAAAAGAGTCTTGCTGCTTTCTCAGCCAAATATGCCTTTGAAAGATTTGATTTTCTCAATCCAACTCTCTAATTATCTAAACATTCCACAAGTACAAAATACCATATTTACATATGCAAAGCAAGGATGAAGATTTAGAATACCTAATTTATTCACACTCGGAATGTTGAGACAAGTACAAATTCAGACATTATATTTTTGCAGATTTACATCTCCAAAGTGGCCTGATGATATATTTCTTTACACAGCATTCTGGACCTCAAAATCTTATCTGCAAACAATTGCTATTTTAAGGATTTAAAGTTTTCAAGGCAAATATTTGACATATGTTTTCAAATTGAGGTTCTAGAAGTAGAGTTATTAATTTACAGGCCTCCTTTGGAAATGGGGTCTTGATTGGTAAACATTTTGATTTAACACTCAGGTAAGGAAGGGGAGGTGCTGTCCTGATGCTTAACAGCTTTTTCCTCCTAGGTAAACTCATTTAGAATGGAAGTGATTATTTAGAAATCCATTCCATTCTAAGCAAATGTCCTCACCCAGGGAAAATAAAACAGAGCTACTGCTGGCTAACTCCTAAGCAATTGTTGCCATTTTACTCTGCATTCTTCCTTATTATCCCCAACAGTTTAAATAAATATCTGTAATGGGTTCCATCTTCCTTATTGTAGCATATAAAACTTACTCCAGGCAGAAAATGTATCCTAATGAAATAATAGCCTTTCTTCGATGTTTCTAGGTCAACACGTAATGCTGTCTTTTTCTAATTTTATTCCAGTTCACAGCAGAGTAAAGACGAGCTGTGCCCGGAATGACACACTGTCTACTCAGCTGTCTTGCTGTTTAATGGTGAGCATCATTCCTACGGGAATGTCTCCCATGATGCCACCTCTCAGTCCACAAAGTCCCCTAAGAAACATTGCAGCCTGCCCAGATGGATCTACCTTCTGTAATGTTTAAATAAATGATCTGGAAACTAAGTTAAAGAGATAATCAACTCGTCACTGAGAACTTTTAAATAAATGAAAAAATTAAATTACAATAATTAACACTAGGCTTGGACCTTTGAGTTCATTTCTTTTCCCCAGTTCCACCTTTTTTTTCTACGTACCTAAAAGTCGTGGGTCCTTCAGCTCATGAAGATTGACTTAGAATTTTAAAACTTCCCACCTTCTAGCCATCTAGGGAGTCCTAGAGAGAGCTAACTGAAATACTTCACACGTTCTTTGTTTTCTCTCAACTAGTTGCACTATTTTATTCTTTCCCTAAGGCCTAGCCTCTGAAATACAACATTCAAGGCATCACACAGTTGCGCAGTATGCCCAGGTGTGGGCAATATTTAATATGGATATGAAGAAGAGAAAGGCTGGAGGTATTGCTGTCTGGTATGCACATTCTGGGCACAAGCGTTCTCATGCAACTGTCATGTGGCAGCTTTGTCAGACATCTCTCTAGAAAACAGTCTAGAGAGGATTGTTGTTATAACCCTTTATAAAGATAGAAAGAAAAAAAAAAGCAAGATTTAGAACCACCAAATCTGCATGGTAGAGTAAGATTTGTAGGTTGGTTACAATTCAGTTCAATTCATTGTAAGATATTTAAGTTATATGTTTGGTTCTGACATTTATTTTAATTTCTCCCTTACATGGAATGAACAAGCCCTTGACACCAAGTGAAGTATCAGGGCTCATGCTCAGAGTATGCCCTCAGATGCTAAAGACTGTGCTGTGTACTCTCTGAAGCCCCATTTTAACATGGTTAGCATCATGGATGAGTCACTCTCTAAGACTGCTCCAACTTCATTTGAAAGAGATTGTTTTTCTCTAACAAGCTCTGCTAAATTCTGAGCCTCAGCCAGGTAACTTCTTCTTGAGGTTAATGAGCTCATTCTGCAGCTTTCTCTACCTGGATCTACAGACTCCCCTGCTTCTTCAGAATTTGTGGCCTTCTTTTTTTGATGCAACCTAAGGTGGTAGGAGAAAGAGAGGAAGATATTTTTTTTTCCTCAGTCATTTTGAATGGGTTTAATAAAATCTGAAAATACATTCTTGTGGTCAGAAATACAAATCTATAATCTCTCTTCTGCCATACATTAAATTCTTCTACCCTAAAAACCCCTTTTCACATAGTAGTTCTCTCTGAGTCTATCCAAAAGATATCACATGAAACATACAAACAGGTTTATACCCAAAGATTAACTGGTTATCATTGCATAAAAGCATTGTAAAATGCCAGTTTAAAAAAATGTGATTAGTCAAACAATTAGTCATCCACTGTAAGTTACATTTGCAAAAGGTTTTGTATGTGTGACTATATATGATGCTATATTATAGATTTAAAAATCTGGATGGAAGGAGCTAAGACTCAGAGGTTAGGAGTGATTGCTGCCTTCCTGGAGGACCAGAGCTTAATTCCTAGCTCACTCGTGTGATAACTAAAAGCTGCCTAAAGATCCAGCCCCAAGGGATTCCATGCCCTGCTGCCAGCCTCCCACCTGCGTGTGTATGCATGCTCACACGTGCAGATGCGCAAACATGCCTAAAGAAAATAAATCTTCTAAAGAGCTCTGTGTGTGCTCTAGCCTTCTAAAACTACTATAAAGATAACTACCATGAACGCTGTGGCTTGAGCAATGGAAATTTACTATTTCATGGTTCTATGGTAAAAATGAGGCGCATCTCTCAGAGCTAAAAATCAAGGTGGACTCAATCTGCCGGGTGCTCTAGGGCCCAGCTTCTTAAATGGCGGGTCACAATCTCAAATGGCATACCTGAATGCGGGAGTAGTGAAAAAAAAGATTGGCAAGGTGTAAGGTATGTGCGAAGCTGTCTTAGAGTTCCGTTGCTGGAAAGAAACACCATGACCACAGCAAGGAAAACATGTCATTGCGGCTGGCTTACAGTTTCGGAGCTTTAGTCCATTGTCATCAAGGTGGGAAGCGTGACAGTGTCCAGGCAGATGTGGTGCTGGAGACGGAGCTAGAGAACTTTCATTCTACATCTGGATCCATAGGCAGCAGAAGGGGACTGGGTTTTCGACACTAGCTATAGATTAAGCATATATGAGACCTCAAAGCCTGCCTTCACAGTGACATGCTTCCTCCAATAGGGCCACACTTACTCCAACAAGGCCTAATAGTGGCATTGCCTATGAGCCAAGCATTCAAATATACGAGTCTATGGGGACCATTCCTACTCAAACCACCACAGAAGCCTTGGGTTCAACCCCAAAACCACATAAACTGGGCACGGTGCTACATACCTGTAATTCCAGCACTTGGTAGATGGAAGGCAGAGGGTCAGGAGTTCCCACAGTGAACTCAAATAGCCTGGGCTACTTGAGAAGCTGTTTCTGGTCATGCTCACTGGTGTTACACTATTGGACTTCACTTCTGAATGCATAGCACACATACTTTAGAGGCTGTGGTTTGACCTCCTCAAAATCTTACGTCTAGGTAGATCACAGGCCTTAGGGAAGAGCCTATACTGTCATGCTGCTAGGTGGACATGTAGTTAGCCGGCCTCCTTTGCCTGAGCATATAGACTGTCACTTCCCCAGCCTTGGTCAGAGAAGCTCCTTCTCAGTAGATAACGCCCTGTTAAGTAAGATAGTCATTGACTAACGTAAGTCCCAACTGAAAACTCTAATGAGGGCAAGAGAGATGGCCCGGCCGGGAAAGGGGCTCCCTGCTCCTGGAGAAGTCCTGAGTTCAGTTCACAGCAGCATGTCACTCCAATTTCAGAGCAATCTGAAGCGCGTGGCCTCTCTGGGCACACCACACACACTTACCCGAAATTTAGAATAAAAAGGAAATACACTAATATCATCTTCATTGGCTCAGCTCTGATGTGCATGCCAACTTGTGTCATGGCTCATCTCCCTGACTTAAAATCAAATAATTTAGCAACGACTGTAAGTCAGACTTTTAAATCATCCAATTATTTAGGAGGATTAAACATCCTCTTAAATCATTACCTTTTTACAAGTATGAAATGAAGACCTGTCAGCGATTTTACTCAGCTCAATGATGGAAGGGAGGACCAGGAAGCTTTGCAACATGCTTAAAGGGAAGTTGAGAAGCCACAGATATAATCGATAGCATTTGACCAGGCACATTTCCGTGAACAGAAATTATTTGCATTATTATCAGTTTTATGTAACTTGGTGAGTTATAAAACAGCCAAGGGACAATAAAATTCGTCAGACTGGAATCTTCCTCCCTTCTCCATCATACCAATCTTGCTCCGTTTTTCCTGAAAGTACAGTTAGTGCTTCCCATGGCGTCTTATATGTAGTTGGTACGCACTTGTACACTTGGGCTTTGAATGATTAGAAGACTGATTCTATGAGAGAAACAGCGACTTGCCATGTAGCAAACTTCGCCCTAATGATGGTCTCAGGTAGGAATCCCAGGGGATTCTAGAGTCAGGAGGGAAAGATTTACATCACATCCAACTGTTTCCTCTCCTGCCCAACACTTACCACCATGGAGAGCCTCTGCAGTGGTCAGATTTCTGCAGCCAACAATGGGGCAAATTACACTGTCTGAACACCTCTTAACAGGAAGTGCCTTGTTTCTGGGCAATGCATGACAAAAATGCATACGTAGTATCCGACCGCACTAGAGAACATCAGTGAGCGTGCTTCAAAGATGCCTCCGCCGTGTAAGACCAACAGCAGCTGAGGCACAGCAAAAGAGGGTGGAGTCTTTAGAATAGTTTAAGAACTCCTGGCAGCCTAGCGAGATGGTTCGGTGGGTAAAGACACTTGCCCCTGAACCTGAAAAACTGTGTTTGATCCCCAGGATCCTCGAGGTGGAAGGAGAGAACTGACTCCCCAGAGTTGTCCTCTGACCTCTGTACAGACACCTCAGTGCACCCATATCCACACAAATAAGTAGGAACAACTTTTTCAATAAGACTCTTGGTCTCAGGTCATGATATTTTCCAGATGGATAGAGATAGAAATTAAGCACAGTTAGAACTGTAACTGAAGCCATCAAATATGAACAGTAAAAGGGATGATTTTAAGGGCCCCGAGGGGGTGGAGCGATGGTTTATCAGTTAAGGAAAAGAGCATGGGCTGCTCCTACAGAAGACTGCAATTTCAATCCCAGCATCGCTGTTGCGCGCAACTGGCTCCGGGAGAGCCGATGCCCTCTGCTGGCTGCCCGTGGGACTGCATTACAGGGTGCTCACAGACACATACAAGCAAGCTGATACACTTAAAATAAAAATAAATAAATCTTTGAAAAAGGAAAGCAAACTTCTTTGAAGAATTTCAGTTATTTACTCAACAACATTTGACTTTTCCAAAAACTTACACATAGATAATTGCTGGCAGCAGCAAAAACCACCAGGTCAAATCAAGCAAAACAAGATGGGTACATCTTGGCAATAAAATGCTGAACAAACTGAAGCTCAAAACGATCCAAACACACTAATGAAGGACTCCATCACCATTTGTAGGTGTATTTTCAAACAAAACAGTTTGGTGATTTGAAAGAGCATTTTAGTTAAAAAAAAAAAAAAAGCCGAGCATCGTCCCAATCGTCAGCCAACCTCTCAGCTCCCACTTAGGCAACATCATCACTAACGCTTGTAGCTAGTCTCCCCGCTGCTGTGTTCGCTCACATATTAGTGTATTTACAAGCTGTTGTGAACTGTCAAAGCCAGAACAGCAGATTGTCTCCGTGGCACCGGACTCACGCTGTGAGCATGGCGCTCACCTCCCGGGGAGCTCTCCAAGTGTTCCATTCCCATAGACTGGTAAGTTCAGGTGTGACATTTTAAACGTTGGATTTGGGTCTGTTGCTTGACTTAAATTCTAGGTGAATCTTAAAACTGTAGATCAGGAGGAAGAAGCGGCACGCTGCCTTTGTAAATGAGCTCTGACTTTATGAGGACCAAGCACCCTCGCTGCAGAGGCAGCGTTTCCCCGTGCTCCTGCAGAGGGCCTCCCGTGTCACTTTAGACGGCAGTGTCTGCAGTGGTTGAGTTTTCTGTCCCCTGCCACCCCTATAGCTTCCAGGTGCACTTCAAACAGTGAGGAGGGCAGCGCCTTGACTGAGAGCATTTCACGCCTCTCCTTCACGGAGGATCTAAGCAGCTGCCACATTAAGCGAGAAACCCATGGGTCAAACTCCAAGCTGTGAGGGAAAAGGTAACAAGCTGACCTGTGCTGGGGGTAGTTTATGATCACCTTAATGAATTTCTAATTAGGCTTATAAAGCCCTGAAGTATTTCCCGCAATGGCGCACCACGAAGCCTTTATTCAGGGAAGGCTAGATAGAGTCCTTTAGATCTGGGTCACATAGCACATTGCCACATGGAGCCACGATCATATTTCCTCTCTCCTAGTCAAGTACGCTCTTAAAGGCAGGAAGGCATTGCAAAGCACTGAAAAGAAACAAACAAAACAAAACAGCAACCTGTTTAGACCTAATGTGATACTTACCCAGGATACCTCTAGGTAATTCTTCAATTTCTCCTGATTTGTAAAAACAGATTATTATCAGTTTAAATAATACCGAATAAATTCCCCAAAATCATTTCTAGCATCCTACCTAAGGACCTTTTAAGAGTGGATTTGTCTCATAATTAAGAACATCTCAGAATTAAAAATAGAATGTTATTAAAAGTAAGGGCTTCTGTTTAATTAAGTGTGCCCACTCACCAGCATTGAGCATGCTGTCCTCAGAGCAAAAGCAGGGTGTGTTGGGGGGGGGGGTATTAGCAAGTGGCCCCTGTGACTGGGAGCGAATCTTCATTAATTCAGAGGTTTATAGATCAGGCCGCACCTGCAAGGGAAGGAATGGCGTGTTAATGGAGGTAGCTGCAGCAATCTATTCTGAAGTGTGCTAGCTGGGAAAAGCATCTCCAGAGAGAGAAATGGAAAGCCCTGCGCTTGTGTGAAGAAATAAGACAGGAGTCAAAGATAAGTGCACAATTCTGACTCCCTTTCACACGTTTAGACTTAATTAGCTTATTAAGATACAATCATATTCAAAAGGCAACAGCTTAGAAAATTCTTTGGGGTCTGGCATTCATAATGGTCTCCCTGCAGCGTGGCTCTCCCTTGGCTAGGTGGGCTGATAGGCTGTGGTCTCTATAATTATGCAACAGCTTGTGCCTGACCCCAAGCCAGCCTGAAAGCACTGACACCTGCTCTCCCTGGCTCCTCACAGTCCCTACTGGCCCACAGGCAGCTCCTTTCCTTCAAGCTCACACTGGGAACAGCCTCTGGGGCTGTACCCTCACTGCTATCTCCTGAGCGCACACAGTGTGGACATGACCCCACAGAACTAAAGCAATGATATTATTTCTTGCTCTTTGTTTTGTTTTGTTTTGTTTTGTTTTCCTGTCAAAGGGCCTTTCAGTCTTGCAACACAAACTAACCTGGAACAGAAAACTTGGCTAATGATACCTTAATGCAGATCTCTCAAGGAGCATTGTTTCAGACAGATTTATCTCCAGTGGATTACTTCACTTAATTCCTTGAAATGCCCTTACGGGAAAGTATTGCCCATACACCTACTTTACAGATCAATAAACTGAGGCCCAGAGTTAGTGATGATTTTCCAGGGAAGTCTAATGTCTAATGGGGCCTGAATTTAAAACAATGTCTCTCTGACATAAAAGACCTCTTAACTCCATCACTGAGACTTCAAGATTCACTATGCCCATCTCTTTCTCTCAATTTTCTATGTGTTTGAGATACTGACTTAACAAATGATAGTAAGTTATTACTGCAAATTATGACACTTCTCAAATACATGCACCCTGCACCTCTGTGTCCATGATGTATCTGTAACAGGAAAAATGACCAAAGGTGAGAATGAGCAACAATAACAAATTGTTTTCACTTGCAGGATGCATTCATCAGCCCGTGTCATTAAACTTTCCTTGTTTTAGTAATCTCCCACCACCTCTCTGACATGCCTGCTGACCCCAAGTGCTACAAGCACCAGAAAGAGAGACTCCCGCCTAACACACTGGCTCTCTGGAAGAAAACCTCCTACGAAAACTCATTAAAGAAATCAGAGAAAAGACATGTTGTAATTTTAGGGCCAGCTCGTGTAATTTGCCAAAATGCCTTGAAAAATCAAAGAAAGGGAGAAATACAGTGAGCATTAAAAATAATGTGAAGTGGAGAGATACGAGTACTATTTGAATTGCAACTGGTAAGTTAAAATCATCGTTACTCATTAATCACCCACGTTACATTCATGCTGCTGATGTGTCTTCTCACCTTGATTCAAGCTAAGATATCTAGAACATTTGCAGGCTGTACACCATGTTTATTATTTTGAATTTTAGTTTGTTTTTTTTTTTTTAAGGAGGATGGTTTAACCTCTGCCTAACTAATGGGAGAATGAACTTTCCCCTCTCATTCCTAGAAAACATTTTAAAACCCAGTTCAATGCCTTGGTGATATCCTGGGATGTTTGTGAGCTTGTTTCTCTGCTGAAAGAACTCAGATCCTGAGACGATCCCAGAGGATTTCAACCCTGCTCTCTCTTACATCACTGCTTGACCCTGACAGCACACCTCCCCAAAAAGATCAGACTCCTTTCCCCATCTCTACACAGATACTTCTTGACCTGCTATGATGTCACATCCAAAGTGGGAATTTTCCTAAATATAAATGGATTTAACACATTCAACTGGTGGATATCACAAGTTAGCAACCCAGGGCTATGTTCCTGTGGCCAAGATGGAGAGGAGTTCTAGACCGCTGCACCTCAGCAAGGTCAGCAGCCAGCCCTAGAAAAGACCGAAATTCAAAGTAGGGCTCCGGTGTGTGTGTGTGTGATCAAAGATCAAACAAAAGGCTCATAGATGGAGGTAAGTACTCTATCACTGAGCCATATATCCCAGACTTCAAGGTATGATTTCTACACACACACACACACACACACACACACACACACACACACATATATCCCTTTTTTATTTATGTAGAACACACAAATCTTAGTCGGGCCATCATAAATATATATGCGTGTCCAAAATGTTCTTGTAGGTCTTTCAGGACTCAGCTATATATTATTGTCAGTAGCAAACCTTTGCTGGGCTCCTCTGCCTGGACCAGTTCTGAGTACCTCTTTTGTTTGTTCATTGCCCTCCAGGCATTCTACCCCATCACAGCCCTTTACATTGTGGATACAGTTGCTTGTTGTATTAGTTATTTTTCCTGTTTCTGCAATACCCAAAGAGAGCAATTGAAGGCTTTGCTTTTTCTTACAGTTCATAGGGATGTATTGTGTCCTCATAATGAAGGCATGGCCAGCAGGAGCAGAAGGCCTCTAGTCACCTTGCATCAGCTGTGAGAAAGCACAGAATGAGTGGGAGGGGCCAGGCTATAAAAAGTCAAGGCCAGCTCCCACAGTCTCCCTCCTGTAAACACGTTTGCACCTCCTAAAGGTTCAAAAGCCTGCCCAAACAGCACCACCCATGTAGGGACCAAGGACCGAAGCACATGAGACTTTGGAGAGCATTTCACATTCAGAGCCAACACCTTTCTTCAGCTCCTCGCCCTAACAACTGACTATGATCATCTTACTTAATAAGAATTCTGATCTCTTCGATATTCTATCTCTGGGGTCTAACACAGTGCCTAGCACGGCAGAGGAAACCCTAGACAGTATATCAGGTGATCAAGTGAAGGGGTGTGGACCCTAAAGCCCACAAGCACTACTTCCATGGGTTAAGTGGTGCTCTGGCCCACAGAAAATCACTGCTCAGGTCAAGCACTGAGCAGAGACCCAAAAGAAACTCAGCATTCAGTAAGCATTTTCGTAGTTCAATTCACACAGAGTCCTCAAGGGTCTAAGGCAATTGTTTCAGAACAGGGCATGAGCTTTCTCATATTTCAAATCAATTAAGAATTCATCAATAACACCGCAGTTCAGTTCTAGTATTGAAAATAGAATTATTTCCCCATTACTGAAACAGAGAGAAAGGATGCTACTCACTTAACAGCAGCACAACTAAAATGCTTCTGAGGGTAGTTCACTGAAGTAGACACAGCTTACCACTCTTCTAACCAATCAAGGTTTCCTCTTCTTTTCAAGAAATGTTTGTGCATTACAAGGCTGCAGGCAAGAAAACAGAGGAAATGAAGTAGTCTCCTCTTACCTTGATAAATGCCATGTCAATGAAGCCTTAGTTGATAAGGAGCCTAAGAACAGGGAAGGGGTAACACAGTAATACTGAAGCAGACGTTGGAAAAAGAAAGAGAAAGAGGGCATAGGAAAGGTAGCAAACGAAAGTCAAGTTCGAAGGTTTTGCTCTTTGATGCTGTCTCTTCTTACCCATGTTCCCCTTGGGTATACGAAATGATATATCCAGTTATTGTCTCTGTGCAAAATGTCTCTTGTGATAGACAGACTGATACTACTTCAATGGCACTCACGGTCCTGGAGCCCACGCAAGAACACATTTTCTCAAATGGTGAAATGGATTTTGTACATGGACAGAACTCTGGGTGGGACCAAAACAATCACAGAGATCCATATAAATGAAAGGACACGGGAGAAACAATTGGGGAAATCTATAAAGATGCTTTACTACTTTGAATCTGGAAGGAGAAGACAGAGGCCAAGGAACTCAGGCGGCACCTGGAGTAGGAAAAGTCAAGGAGAATGTTTCCCTGGGGTTCCAGAAGTATAGCCCTGCTGACAACTTAATTTGACCCCAGTGAAATCCATTTCTGATTTATGAAGTCTGGGTTGGTAAAAGAAGAGAACATTCTCATTTGAAGCTATTAAGTTTGTGATCGTTTTTTACAGAAGCTACAGGGCACTAATACTCTTCCCATTACTGGTCTGGTAAACCTAAGCCCTAAATTCAGGCCGTTTGCAACTCCCCTTGACCCAATCAAACACCCAGAATAAATCCATTGTCCTATCCCACACATGGCTCTATGCCAAGTTAGCTCAACTGTCAATTTGATTAGCTTAGAATGGAAAGTAAAACATACTTCAGGGTGTATCTGTGAAGATACTTCCATAGAGAAATAAAGGGGAAGACACATCCTGAATGGGTGGCACTTTCCCATAAATCAAGAACTTAGATGGGATGCAAGAGGAAGGAAGAGAAGCCTAAAGAGTACTTGTTTCTCTGCTTCCAGGATACGACTACTGTACTTGGCCATGCCCTCCTCACTGTGATGCAATGAAACTTCTGGAAATCTGTGAGCCAAAATAGACACCTCTTTCTTGGGTACCCTAATACAGAATCCTACCACAATCTACCTGTGGTGGTTTGAAAGAAAATGGCCCCCATTGGCTCAGATGGAGTGGCACTATTAGGAGGTGTGGCCTTGGAATGGGTGTGGCTTTGTAGGAGGAAGTGTTTAGGTAGGGGGTGGGCTTTGAAGTCTCAGAAGCTCAGGCCAATTCACTTCCTGCTACCTGCAGATCGAGATGTAGAACTCTCAGCTGCTTCTCCAGCACCATGTCTGCCTCCACGCCACCATGCTTCCCACCATGAAGATAATGGACTAAGCCTCAGAAACTGTAAGCCAGACTCAATTAAATGTTTTTCTTTATAAGAATTGCCATGGTCATGGTGTCTCTTCACAGCAAGACACCCTAAGACACTGCCTGCATAGTTGGCTACACCACGTTTCTTCTGGGGTAAGCCTAAGTGTTAGTAACTCTTCAGTATTGTTCTTCCTAATGTTCCTAAGTCTTCAATGGTCTTGAGACCAGCAAGCTTGCCAGTCTCAATGCTTATCAACCCATCATGGTGAAAGCCTATCCACAAATACTGTTTTTACTTTCTTTATCATAACCCTAAAAAGAATTCCAATTATTTTTTAAATCAATAGTTTAATAAACTTGAAATATTAAACCAATATAGTTTTGATTCAAAGGTACTAAATAGGTTGTAAAAATAACAAAAATCCCAGTCTAAATCTGAGTTCTCACAGAACATGAATACTTTGATTTTTGTCAAACTTGCTGCTGTAAAACCATAGACAATCAAAGGTCTTTTCAGCAAATAGAGTTACATAAATGAGCATCAAATACAAGAAAATTAAGCATTCACACATGGAGAGTTCCAGTTATTTAAAGAGTTAAAATTTAACAAAAATTTAAGACAACTTACATAGGGATATGAATAATCAAAGAAGAATCAGAAGGGAAGGGAACTGAAGCAGGAACACTTTGTCCCTTTGACTGAATCATTAGACAGAAAGGAAGGGGATTTCCAGTAGTAGTGAGTCTTCATAAGATCCAAGGATTTCTCAGACCTGAAAAGATGCAGTTTCCATAGTTACAGAAAGTGAGAAATATTGGTAGAGAGATAAAGTAAAATAATCTTTCCAGAAATATTCTAAAAACTCCATTCCTTACCATGCTCAAGCTCCCACATGTCATTCAGCCATGATTTCCAGCAAGCCTATTCCCTGGCTATGGTACCCAGGAGCGTCCTTCAGTCGGTAACAGGCAGAATCAGGATCCAAGAGCCTAGTGATTCCCTAAGACAAAAGTTCTTGTCAGGTAAGAGTCGCAGAAGGTCCAGCTGACCCAGTTAAGGCAGCATTTCATCTTGTGTAAGTTGTTGAGAGAATAAGATTTGTCACCCAGAGCTCAGCTCCATAGAGAAACTCTCTAAGAGGCCAAACTCCAAGCAACCAGTAAGGAAGGGTGGCTCGCTTGTTACTGACAGCTTGTCACTCCCCACAAGAAATGTGTCTGCCAAGGCAGTCCCAGGACACCAGATACTGCCTCTGTCCTGATGTGCCCCGCAACTCATGCCACTCAGTGTGGGGTTCTTAGAAAACCAGATTTGTGCAGACAGCTGTTGTATTGTGATCTTGGTAATATTTTGTGTTGTTTCCCAAAGCTGAGTATCTCCTGAGTGTCAGTCTTCCCTGTCAGTCATTAAAATGGACAGCCCACCATCTCTGGCAACAGTCTGGGTTTTCACTGCTATGACAAAAATACCTGAGAAAACAAAGCAAATGGATAAATTGCTTGCTTTGTCGTTTCAAAGCTTTCAGCCCCTGATAGCAGAGAGGGTCCAAACCCACAGATAGTGCATTCTGTGACAAGCTGGAAACAGACAAATGGAACGCCAGCGCTCTAGGGCTTTCTCCCAATCCCTGTTGCTTTTACCAGGCCAGACGGCACCATCCATCCTCAGAGTTTGGCTACCCCTTAGTTAAGCTCAGTTCTTTCTGGAAAGGCTTTCATAGACTCACCCAGGAGTGTGCTTTCCTAATCCCCTAGACGCTTCTCAATCCAATGAAGTTGACAATCACAATTCACCGTCACAGTTCCTGATGGTATGCTGCAGTTCCGGGTCTCAGGGGGCGCCTGCCTCACCATCATAGGTGCGGTAAACACTGCTAGTTTAACGGGTGTGGTGGGGGAGGACCTGGTTGTGACCAGCCCGCCAGAGTAGATTCTAATTCAGACACACACGCACATTATCTTTTACCACATTAGCCAATGTCTGTGTATATTTGCTGAAGCAAAGCAGTGCCTTCTGACCTTTGAATTTTCTTATCAGTCTGAGCCCAGCTTCCGAAATGTAACCACTGAAAATGCATGTACATAACTGTTTTAATGGTAAAATACCTGTCTTTTTCCAATTCCTTCCCCTTTTTCTTCTTGCTCTCTTAATCAGACCACACTTGTCCATCCCTTCCCAGCCTTCCCAAAGGCAGTTTAAATGAGCATACACATCAGCAAGCCATCAGAATAATTACCTGAAACACGGTGTTCTTACCCTGGGAAGCAGCTATGCAAGAACTGGTCCAAGCAGGCCCAGTGTGTGCCACTCCGCTGGCTGCTGTCGGGAAAGCTTCCTCAGTAAATCAAACCTTCAGCAGGTAAGGCTGCTGACATTCTATAAGCAAAATCTAGTCACGTTCGGAAGGCCAGCCACACCCTATTCAGTGGAATCCTGGGAAAACTTCTCCTTATAGGAAACTTCAAACCAAAGAAAATATTTCATTAACTGAATCCCATTCAGGAGAGGTACTTTCTTTAGTGGAGTTCTGATTGCTTTAATCTCAATCTCCATTCTAATTGTCAAGATTAATGCCTTGGGGAAAATCAGGACAGCAGATATTATCATTTCAAAACATAATGTTCACTACTGGATAAAACATCTGAAAGTAGGCCAGTGAGTTTGCTTTAAAAAAAAAAAAAAGATAAAGTAGAAAAGACAGATATTAGATACTTATTTACTTACTTACTTCCTTCCTTAGCAATTTGCTTACAGCAGCTGCACTGCCTATCTGCCAAACGTGATTTCACTTGCTACCTGGAATAACCTGAAGAAAAATAGCTGAAACAATGAGTCGTTTCCCCGAACAACCTGCTGACTGTCATGTAGGTACGGTTCTCACTAGCCTACCCATCCCGCCTGGTGGTTTTACAGTATGAAATGAGAATACACACCAGCCCAGCACTGAAGCTGTTCAGAAGCTGTGCGGGCTTTGGTCTATTCTCATCGGCATAGGAATGCTTATTGCAGAAAGATTCCCTTAAGAAAATGGAAGACACATGGTAATCAGGCTGAAGCAGACAGGGCAGAGAAACCCCCGGGATTCACACGGCATTCTTCAGTGGGATGGTATCCAGGGTCCACACAGTCACAGCCAAATGCCCAAGAAACTACTTGGAAAAGCTGTACCCTCAGCCATGTGCCACGGAAGCACTGATTTCTCAATATTGGCTTCTGTAAATGGGTCATAGAGTTAAGGAGATAAAAAAAAATTGGTGGTTTAACTCAGTCATAAAATATCCATTTAAATTCTGAGCTGCTTCTCTGGAGAATCGCTCTAGTTTTCAGGGAAATTCCAGTTTTAAACTACGCTGGAAATGGTCGTTGTTTAATTACATCACTACAGCTTATGCCCCTCAGTGTGATGGAGCATTCAAGTCATTTAAAATTCACTTTATTCTATGAACTTAGGAAAATATTCACAGGACCCTTTCTGACAGTTGCTTTAATTTTAAAAATTACTCAGGCCTACTGGTTTAAAATCCCAGATACCTGTGAGTCCAAGACAGGAGGATCAAGAATAGAAAGCCTGGCTGGGCGATAGAGGACTCCACGGCCAGCGTGAGCAATTCTGTAAAACTGTCTCATAAGATGCAAGGGCCAGGCTGTCACTTTATGGCAGAGCAGTTGCCTAGTATGTCTGAGGTCCCGAGTTCAATTCTCAGGACCACAATTCATATATATAAATTATATATGTGTGTATGTGTATGTGTCTGTGTGTGATAAAAGGATATTCATTCTAATGTATTGACATTTAAAAAGTGGAACGACCCAACTTTACATCACCAGTAACTAGTCTCCTTACCCAGAATTCCACCTGACATGAGAAAAATGTCCTCGGCACAAAAGAACCCCATCTGATCTATGGCCCTCAAGAGGAGCTGACTCTTGCACAGAGGTCTACAGGCAGAAACGGTAAGCCTGTGCAGACATGCATGCAAACCTTACATAAACATTTCACAGTGAGGCAGATTCCTTTCAGGATGAAGCCACTCCCCCAGAAGACAGTAGGTGCTTAGAAGAGCCCGGGAAAAGTGTTTTTGACAGGCCACCTGTCTCCAAAGAGCAATGGTCCCCCTGCAATATTATAGATTTTCTTTAAAACTTCATTTCAGTAAACATAAAAGCTTGGGAAATTCTCACTTTATTATGGAACTTTGCTATGGTAATGTGTGTTGGAACTTTCCATTAGTGAACTATATCATATATATTTTCCAGACTAACTTGACCAAAGCACCTATTCATAGTGTCTTTGGCATCTTGGCGGGGGTCGGGGTCGGGGGTTGTCTCTCTTGCTTAGTGAACACAGATTGGAAAGGGCTGCATTTGTTTAACATGACAAAGCCCGTGGACTAGTAGTGCAAAATGAGTGCCCAGGGAACATCGTTCTAAGCAGTCCTGTTTTCTGTGCTTTTGCCATCTAATCCCCAGCAATGATACAAAGTGTTTTCTACGCCAACTCTCAAGCTACTAGCAGTCATCAGAAGTGGCAGGTTCAAGCCATGTGACAAACAACTGTGCTCACTAACATCATTCGGGAGCATTCTCAAGATCCTTTCCTGGCCTGTTTCTCAAATTTTATGCAATTGTATGTTCTCAGTGCCAGGAGTATCTGGCTGTACATTTAATTTCCAGTTTTGTTTCAGAGCCCTGTCATTTCATCAATCAGAGCTATTCCATCTGCTAAAATGCTGACAAATCCAGCTGCTTTGTCACTTCCAATCAATTCACTAATGTTTCCGCGTTCTGTTTCAATTAGCAGCCTATTCTTTGCTCTGTTTGATGACTTGATACTACCTACTGTCTGCAGATTAAAAATCAAATTACACGTTGCTTTGCCCTTGACATTAAAAAAAATCCTTTCTTCTTTACCAAATCTTTTCTATTTAGCACGTTTACCCCTCTTAAGTTAAATTGTGCTCTACCACACTGAGAAGAGGTTCAATTGTTACACAAAGAATGGATCCATACTGGAATGCTCCTCTTGACATTCGCTTAATCCCAGTGCCTTGATTCAGAATTCAATCTTCTCTCATCTAAGCCTTTCTATTGCTGCAAATTTTTTCAGCACCTTCCATTAAACACCTACTTGAAGCGTTATTTACTTGACCATAATCCCTTCTTTGTTTTATTTAATTCACCAACTACAATACCTCTGTTTTCTACTGTCTCCAGTTCTTGACTCTGAGATGTAAGTAACAGTGAGACACAGTCATTCTTGATGCTGATTATCTCGTCATTCAACCCCCCCCAGCAATTAGGAAGTAACCACCTGAATGCTGTGTTTCAGGTGCATCATGTGCCTCTTATCTGCCTTCTCTTCCTGTGAAAAGCAATCTACGCTTACCTATTTAAATTATATAAAATTATACAGATTTTTTTGTCACAAAGTGCAGAAATGGCATAGATTCTGACTGTCCTTTCCCAGGCTCTGTGTCACACTGACAGAATGGCACTTTTATAGCCTAAAGCAATACAGCAACAGTGCTGTGGGTCATATTTTTAACTTTAATGACAATCTGTAATTGCCTGCAGCCTGCCTTATTTCTGGTCTTGCTGATTTCTCGAGGACCTGTGATAACACAGCTCCCAGCTGCCCGTCTAATCTGCCTCTGCCTTCTTTTGTGTGTGTATGTGTGTGTATGTGTGTGTGCGTGTGTGTTTGATGTAGTTTTTCTATGGCTATCAGGTCTTGCAGCAAAGTAGTCTGAATCTATAGTTTTACCTTCTTCAGGGCATTCTGAGAAACTAGAATTTGGTTCCACCTGCAAACTCTCACTGTCTACCTTTTCCTGTGGCTGGGAGTGGTAAAGTCTGAACAATGGCAGCTTTGCTCCTGATGGAACTGCCTGATGGCAGCCTTGAAATCTTCATTAGCTTTAGTCTTTTCTAGATATTTGAAGAAAAAGAAACAACTTCAAAACATGGCTTGTCAGTGGAAGTTTCACCTTCCTTCAGTATAACAAGATCCCATTCAAGTTGTGCTTAAAAGATGGGACCGTTATTCTGTTTTTAGGGATTACTTAAGTGTTTATAACCAATACGCGTGTGCCTAGTTGATCAACGAATGTCCAGTGAACACCAACTCGATCCATTCTTTTTCTGTTTTTGGACAACATACCTGGAAAAGTCAGCTTAAAGAAGAAAGGGCTGATTATGTCGTTCAGTTTGTGGGTGCAGTCCACCATGTCAGAGAACACGTGGCATCAAGAGCAACTGTGGCAACAGGAAGGTATGGCAGCTGCTCATACATGTCCATAGCCAGAACACTGAAAAACACTGCTACCAGTCTCTCTCTTCTTCTTTTCCCTCTGTTTGGTTAATCCAAGACACCAGCCCAGGGGACAGTGCTCCCTACATTTGGGGTGTGTCTACCCTCCTCTGCTAAGCCTCCTTGGAAACGCCTTCCCTCACAGACATACTTAGAAATGTATCTCCAAGGTGATCCAAATCCAGTCAGAGCTGAGCAGGAAGACTAACAGTGATATCAACTATGTATAAGTACTGTCTCTCTCAACCTGGACAGCTGAGTACAGAGTTCACAACTCCATACTGTTTCTTCATGCATATTTACTGACAGCTGGAAAGCATGTCTCTTCGTGGAGAACTTTATAAATTCCTCCAAATAGTAGTTCTTTGTCTACAAGGTCCTGAAATAAGTATGACATTCCTTTCACACCAGAGAATCCTGGATACTTCACACATTCTCTAGCCTTCCTCTGCAAACTTGATGGGCATATCTCCCCTACTTTGTCTCCACCCCATTGCTACAGCTTGAGCACATCACTGAGTGTGTTATTTCAGCCTGTTAATATTCAACCTACAGAGATGCTCAGCGTACGCATCTTTCTCTAACCCCTTACCTGAGTTATCTGTCTTGTAACCCAAGATTAAGAGAAGACATCATGATTTGGGGGTCATCATTCTGTGATACTAAGTCACTATCCCAGTCATGTAGAGGATAACAAGGGAGTTTGAGAAAAGTAGTCACTGAATGTGTGTTGAGTGCTTTAGTGTCAAGTCACAGGAAACCAGACACAAGGTCAGACTGTAAAGACAAAATCATTTTACTTGACAAGACCCTTCTGAGGTGACTAAGAAGCTCCATGCCAGAATATCACTGCAGAGATTTCCTTGATGCCCTTGCATCAAGGTGGTCACAGAGCAACAAGCTCTCCCTGAGAAGACAGCCTTCAACTTAGGAAGGCAGGAAACTGAACAGAAGAGAAAACAAGAGTCTATTGCTCCTCATCAGAAAGGCTTCTCATACACCTCATTGACCAAATGAATCCTGAGCAAACTCTACCCTCACAGTCCTCAGAGTGTGTTTCCCAACAGCTGCCTCTTCCTCTCCTGGGGATTTCTTGAAAATTCAAACCCCAGACTTTACTGGAAGAAACTCTGGATTTTAACAAGAACTCTGGGTAATTCTGACACCTTCTAAGTGCTGAAAGCTCTGTCCTGTCACATCAGAGCAGGATCCTTTCACCACACCCAGATGAGATGAGAAGTTATGCATGCGTTCAGAATGTGACACACTGTTGTCTGGAGTAGAATGGGGCTTATAGCGGTCAAAAAAGGGGGAACAAGGAAGTGGCAGTAAAGACTCAAAGTGGAGAAAACAAGCAGGTATGGGAGTGGGAGCAAGAG